CCTAACTTCTTATCGGCTTAACGGTGGAAACAAGCCCGCGTTCTAGTCAAGGCGAGTCGTTTCATACCGATGATATGCTTGTCATGCTGTTCTAGTTGTACTGTTCTTCAGTATACGAGCACGAAGCTGGGGGCCCCACTTTGATCACCTACTTAGTAGCCTGGTACGAATACATCGCGAGATTCCGTGCTGAATTCCCCGCGAAAAAAGAAAGGCTTTGGTCTGGTCTAAATCTGTTGTATAAAGGCGCCGTGTCAAAAACACGGAGCAGGGAGTATAATTCACCGTATTTGGCGTTACGGGGAAACAGGAACACAGGCTGGTGGTTATGATGATCTTTATCCCGGAAAAGCCCGACCGACTCGAGCAACCGGCGTTACTCAATAATGTGACCATGTGTCAAATTATAATGTCTGAATACCAATCAAAATCTGGTTACATGTGCTTTGCTTGTCTGTCCCTCGTGCCTATATTTGAACATTGGCGCCTGTCAATATGTTGAAGTGAATGAAAGGTTGAGGAAGCTGAATTTGTTGCATAACAATAAGTGTAATTAGTGTGATGACGAAAGTTTTGATTTGATCATGGCTAGTGCTTTGAATAATGACCTGCGCTCCTTTGAACTCAAAAGAAGGTATCGCGAATACGTGATCCTCTTCCTCTTTCTAACTTCCTAACCTAGTGCAGAAAAGGGGGGAGGTGAAAGAGGCGTATAGACTGCTGATGCCAACACACATAAGCAACCAACACTATACTTGTATGTATGCCTGGTAAGCAGCTATATAGGTAGGAATGAAACAAGCCAATGCAGGTATTTGCAGTTCTAGTAATATTTAACCTGCCGTAGGAGGCAACATATAGCGAGCGAGTATGTCCCCCTTTCCCACATTCAACTTGCGATCTTTGAAATGGCTCTACAATGGGTTCCTCAGAATTGTACCTCGCATCTATCTCACTAATACATATCCATGTCATGAATTAGCATCTATTAGGCCGGCTCTATATCATGCATTCATTATCTACCGGATATCAAGACCAATTTTTCTTTCTTTTCTATTTCTATAGTTATTGTCTTTAAATTCTAACGGCCGCCCATCACTTCAGCGTGACAAGCTCCTCCGCGCTCGTGGGGTGAATCGCAATGCAAGAATCCAGATCCTTCTTCGTAGCGCCCATCTTGATGGCTACGCCGAAACCCTGCAGCATCTCGCCGGAGCCAAGGCCCATGATGTGCAGGCCGACGACCTTCTGCTCGGGCCCCGCGCAGATCACCTTGTACATGGTGGGCGCCTTGTCCTCGGGCTCCATCATCGCGTAGTACATGGCTGTGAAGCTCGTCTTGTAGATGGTTAGGTTGTCCCGGCCGTACTGCTCCACGGCTTGCGGCTCTGTTAGCCCGATGCTGCCGACTTCGGGGTGGGCAAAAACGACCGACGGCACGTTGGTGTAGTCGATGCGCGTGGTCTTGAATTGCTCGCCGCCGTAAAGACGCTCCGAGAGTCGGCGGCCGGCGGCGATGGCGACGGGGGTTAGTTCCACTCGGCCGGACACGTCGCCTATCGCGTAGATGTTGTCCACAGACGTGTTCTGGTACTCGTCGGTGACGATGTAGCCCTTCTTGTCAACCTTGACGCCCGCCTCCTCCAGGCCGAGGTTCTTGGTCATGGGGGTACGGCCAATGGCCCAGATCAGGTGGTCCACGCCCTCGAGCTTGCTCTCGCCGTTGCTGTCCTTGTAGTGTATCGTGAGCTTACCGGTGCTAGGGTCCTTCTCGATCTTAGTCTGGGCAGACTCTTTGTGCACATGTACGCCGAGCCGCTCATATTCGCTAGTAACGCCCTCCTGGATCATAGGATCGAAGCTGCGCAGGAAGGTCTTGTGCCGGATGAACAAATGCGTCTCAGTGCCCAGGGCATTGAACATTCCCGCAAACTCAACGGCGATATATCCCGCCCCCACCAAGGCGACCTTCTTAGGTAGCACGTCGATGTCGAAGAAGCCATCGCTGTCGATTCCATACTCGGCGCCGGGGATTTCGAATGACGGCTTCGTGGGTTGGCCGCCTACGGCTATGAGGATCTTGTTGGCGCGTACCGTGGTTTTCGTGCCATCGTCCAGTGTTATCTCGACTTCGTTCTTGCTTAACAGCTTTGCCCACCCGTGCACATATTCAACCTTGTCGTTGGCAAGGTTTCGTTCGTAGATGCCGTTCAATCGCTTGATATAGGCGTCCCGCTTATGCTTGAAGGTGGTGAAGTCAAACGGCTTTGTTTCTTGAACTGAGAAGCCGTACGCTTTAGCGTCGTGAATGGCTTCGGCGAGGGCGGCGGCATTGAATGTGACCTTTTTAGGTACACAGCTGTAACGGACTTGATATTAGCGCCTTTCTTTTTTTTCTTTTTTTCTTTTTTGCATTGGTAACACGGAGGGGTTACAATACCCGACATTCACGCAGGTACCACCGAGGCGCATGGCTTCGACGACCATGGCTTTCGCACCGAACTTGGAACTAGCCATGCGCGCACAACCAAGACCCCCGCTTCCGCCACCAATGACCAGAAAGTCGATCTCCTTAGATATGGGCGCCATGATGTGAGGGGTGGACGAGAAGTGTCTAGAGAGTGAAGCTATTCGCGAGGTCGCCGTCCTGGACCTGGACGCAAAAGCAAAAGCAGAAGCAGGAACAGAAACAGAAGGATATGTTAAGGTTACAATAGCAGCCGATATGCGACTAAATAAACCAATTGGTTGCATTGACCTGCTTGTTCCAAGTTCCAACGGAGGAAAAGGAAAACGAAAGCAATGGCGGGGTGGAGGAGAATGACGTCTTATATGGGAACCTTGCGAGATATGTAAAGCAGAAAGGTTTCTATGTAGGTATGTACAAGCTGCGGGACTGCGGTAAATTTCTAACGTCTAACGGCGAATTTCCAATCAGCAATGTCCCAGATAGGCAACTTATGAGCTGAAGAATTACTAAGAGAAGAGCCTCGGAACTACTAAACCTCGGAACTTGACCGGTGATCAATAAGCACCGGGGTGGCCGGTTCCAGCACAGCGCCTACCTATTTTTAAGTGCGCCGTTCCGCCCTCCCGTGCTAGGTTAGGGTCTTTGACAAATACTCGAATAGTACGTACTCTGCCCGATCTACTATTATAGTAGGACCCATATATTTTGATTGGTTATCCGACATAAGCTTGAATCGAATCTTGATAAGGTCATACAGGTACATGATGTAGACAAACCATAGCACAATCTCCCCATACATACTCAAAAGGCATACGAACACTGCTTTGACATAAGAACATAGGTATATATCCAATGAAGATCAAGCCGATATTCCAAATAGGCAGTGTCCTACTGCATTTGGGGACTCACAAAAATGCATATACGTTTAGCCCAAACGAAGGACTGGGTAAAGCATTTAACATATAATTATATTTGTTCCGTCTATCATAAATTTATATGGTGTCTTCTATTGATAACTCGAGTTCCACATATAAACGAAAGAGTAAAATGTTACTATAAGTATTATAACATCTCACAGGAAAGACCACCTCTGCTACCCGTTTATATGGTAAGTTCTGAACTATCTACAAACTGTCATAACAGTCTATTCAATCGAGAGAGTTTTAATTTTCAAGTTAAATAACATTGGAACTTAGTACAGAGTTCGTCCAGCCACTAAAGTACAAGGAAATCATACTTGTTAAACGAGACAAACTCGAAGACTCTTCTATAATCCGTTCATTTATCTTAGCATCTCGAAATATCTAAACTAGATAGCTCAGATTCGTCTACATAATCCTCACGTTCCTTCCTATGCGGACACGTGGCATGGCTATTCTATAGCAGCTATACAAGCCTATAAGCTCTCTTCCCGCCCGTTTCTCAAAGGAAGGAGTTGAATCAAATCCTGAAAGTCACCAGGGCTATGCCAATCATAATGTGCGGGGCACGCGGGTTTGAGGAATAGCGCGATGTAAGTTGGAGGAGCTTCACATCCATCTGGGCGCGGGGTGTGATGATCTATAGCACGGGGGGGCAGGGTGTTCGCTGGCAGTAATCGCCACTTGCGCCGAACATGATATGATCTTGCTTACCTCCCCAGCCGGGGTATCGTCTATATATCCTCGCCGATTCCCTGCTTGACGATGTCGCGGAAGCTCGCAACTCACACCCGGAAAGGCCTTGCTAAGGGGCCTTGCTAAGGGGCCTTGCCTGTCTTTATAGAAGATATCATCCGCTAGCGGCCCTCCATAACTATTTATAAAATAACTCTTCACTATACATACAGCACACCCATAGATCATGGGTGGTGAAACCCCGGCGAAGAAGGAACACATAAAGAAGGAGTGGTACTGGGATTGCGTAAGTTTAAAAAACAAAAAAATAAACGCATACTCTGGCACTTGGCTAACTTCGCCGAGTGCGAATGCGGCTTTTCGCCGATTCTATTTGCCGTTCATGCGGCGTGCCCTGATTGTAATCGTCATCGACGGTGCTCGTCCTGCCGCCTCTTTTTGTGGTGATTGAATGGGCAAGCAATGCCGACAAACCATTTTCGATTATGATAGGATGCTAGCAAGTTAGAGGGGTTGCTAGTTAGACATGTAAGGGGATCGAAGAGCTGCAGTCAGGTTGACTTAAACGTATTAGCATTGGCTGATATTGTAATTGGAATATTCACTTAGTTATGGGTTCTCTTGGTTAGCTGTTCTATAGGGTTGATATAAGTCTCATTTACTGGGTCATATTCTTAATAATGAACGAATTACAAATATCTGTATTACTGCTCTCAAATCTGACATGCGTCTAAGATTATAATTAGAGCTTGAATACAGGTAGGAACTGGTTGTCTACTAAAAACATAATCGATCACGTGACCGTTTATATGTAAAACATACCTAACCTAGGTACGTACCTAACGTAGGTACCTAGGTATGTACCTACGTAGTCTGGGTTGTACCCAAGTACCAATTGTAAAAACTTCACAAACTGTTAGCATCACTTATATTTCAAAGATTTAGGTACATAGGTATTTTTGAGATAAAGGCATCTTTCAACCTTATTAGACTCTTAGGCGGTTTAAGAGGCGATTGTCAGCCATACCTATTATACTCGTCCCTTACTCATGGCGCTGTAGCTAGTGAAAAGGGGACGACGTAGAAGTTGGTAGGCTGGTTACACTATGCGTGTGAGATAGATGCCACCATGTCATCGAAGCTGGAAGCGATATTGCCCAAGTTCAAGAGCATACATTTGAAACAGCTTGCTTCCTTATGCGGCGAGAAGACCAGTGGTAAAAAGTCGGAGCTCATCGACCGCCTCATCGCCTTGAGTCACGCGCGTCCAGCTAAACCGCCTGGCACCAAAGACTCGCGACTCATTCTGAGCATCGACCTGGGCATCCGCAACCTAGGTTATAGTCTCATCTCACCCGCCGCGCCATCTAAAGTCCTCTCACCTTCTGCTCTGACTGCGGATGACTTGCACCGACCACCGCGTGTCCACCTGCACGCATGGCAGCGACGAGAGCTCCTGGAGCCCTCGATAGACGGGATAGAGGACCCCGACCGTTATAGCCCGGCCTCCCTCGCCATCGCGACAGACCGGCTAGTACGTCACAACTTGTTACCTCTCAAGCCGACGCACGTGCTCATCGAGCGGCAGCGATGGCGCAGTGGCGGCGCCGCAGCAGTCCAGGAATGGACACTCCGCGTCAACACGCTTGAGGCCATGCTGCACGCGTCGTTGCGTACGCTGCGGGAATTAGGGCATTGGAACGGCGAGGTGGTGTCCATGGCACCCAACAGGGTCACGCGATTCTGGCCTCCGCCACCGATCATGTCCGAGGAGACTCCAAAGACGAGAAGGAGCCGGTCCGCTAAAACGGTTGATGAAGCAGCTATAAAAGGAGCTAAGTCGCAGCAGAACAGCAAGAAGTACAAACTTGGCGTTCTGACGAGCTGGCTAGCGATGAAACGAGGAAGCGAGATCATCCTACCTGCGAATCGTGACACCGAGGACGCCGTCAAGTGGTTTCGTTCGAAGCTAACTCGCTCTCGGAAGAAATCGAGCGATGTTGAGGACTTGATTCGTGATGCCGGCCCACGAAAGCTCGACGACTTGACCGATAGTCTCTTGCAAGGCGTGACGTGGCTGAAGTGGGAAGAGAATAAGGCCATCCTCCTTAGAGAGGAAGGGTTGACGAGGCTCCTGGAAGAGAAGCTCTTAGACGAACTAGAAGCTGACACATTGGTTGGTGACGTATAAAATAAACACTCAATTGTATAGTACAAATATCCATCTATATTTAAATCAAGGCTAGGCAGATGATATTGATGACCCTTCTCAGGGCTTCTGTCTGCTACCCAACATGCGAGTCTAACTAATTCACCTGAGCCCGTGGGAATTGGGGTATAACGCGCTTGAGACAATCCAAAACCAACCACCTCCTGGAAACAATAAATCTATTGCTCGCCACCACTTCATCGGTATGTCGTTTACAAAAAGATAACGCTGGTCAATCCCGTAGCCAAGAGCGCGGCGGCAGCGAAGAGGAAAGGCTTGGGCTCTGTGGCCGTGCCAGCGTTGCCGGTAGGGGTAGGGGTGCTGCCGGATTCACTGATGAAGAACGGAAATTAGTAGGCATACAGGGATAAAGATGGCACCAGATACTCACGTAGTGCTGCTGGATTCGCTTTGTCCAGAGGTAGCAGTCGCGTCACCGGTCGGGGTAGCAGAAGCGGAAGCGGAAGCGGACACGGACTTGACACCAGTGGCAGAAGCAGTGCCGGTGCTAGACTGAGCAGAAGAGGTCGAAGTGGGAAGCTTAGCAACGGTCATACCCTCCTCCAAGCACTTAGAGGAGTAGACCCCATAGGCCACGGGGAGAGTGTCCTTGTGGCAGTTGCTGGTCAAGTTGCCCTGGATGGCATGCTGGAGATCGCCACAGACCGCCTTCAAATCGGATGGGTTGTCCTGAACACTGTACAATTACGATAAAAATTAGTCGTGCTATCCCGTCCATAAATCCCACACACACACACGCACACACACACACATATATATATATATATATATATACTCCTAGTCAACCACAGCCTAGATCGGATCAGAACCAACGTACCCAAGAGCAGCCAACAGACAGGCCGGGGGAATAGCAGCGGCGACCTGGAAAAAGGCCAGGACGGCAGTAAAGATGGCGAAGAAAGCACGCATGTTGACGGATATGGTATCGAAATCGCTCGAGAAGAACTGAAAAAAGGTCGGGAGAATCTAGCGAAGAGCTTCAAGTTGAAACACGGATTCTAAATCGCACGCGCCGAGGTGATGGGATCGAATTGATCGGGGGGGGCAGAGGTAAGCTATCGCAGAGATTGTCTAACAGGTAGTTAGTTAATGAATGACTATAGGAAGTAATGAGTGACGAGACTGCAGCGTAAAGAATGACTGCAAGTTTCTAGTTGAAAAGACGGGGGAAAAAAACAAGGTGTGATGGAGGTTGTTGAAGGTGAAGGAAGGATCGCGCCGTAGAAAGAATAAGGTAGGTACCTCTCTCCTGAATTCGACCTGTGACAAGGGGGTACGGTCCTTGTCAATTCGGGCTAAACCTCGGCAGATTCCGTGTCAAACAAAACCTAGGTAGGTGTCGATTAGGCTTAGCGTGTAATGTTATTTCGTTATCCTATGGGGTCCTTGCTGTAAAATATCTCGTATTATTCAATATGAAATGTGTAAAAGGAGAAGAATGGAGTATTGTGTTTATCGCTAAGTGGGAAGCAGCTGGATCATATAGGATAAACAGGTAAGCTGCCATTATAGTTACGAACAGCCAAGTTCACAGACAGCGTCGCTCTTGTTGTATGGCCCAAGCCCATTTTCATCTAACCCCGTCCACATCCGATTGCTTGAGAACTTCAATATAAAGCAGTGTGCCTGAATAGAAGCTTATAGTATATAGTAGCTGAGGTATAGTAGATTCAGTTGAAGTATTGTATACTTTGTTTCCTGTTAGTGGACAAGTCGAAATAGAAGTTTGTGGCTATTAGCAAAACCAGACACTTGGTTTTAATAAGACGAGGTTGATACTGTATCACAGCGCTCCTGATACTCGCCCCCTATTTATATGCAGGCCGACAAGAGGAGCGCTAGTCAGCTTGAGTTACGAAGTAAGTGCTAGGAGGTCTATTCAGGGGCCATTAAAACGAATCGAATCGAATAAAGAAGCTATGTACCTACCTATGTATCAGCTATCCCGCCCTAGGTTTGCAGTATCCTGCCTCTTATTCGCATCGTACCATTTGGAAGAATCAAGTAGGTAAGCCACAGGGTATTTCTTGAAGTCGTAGGATACGCCTCGATACTTATCCGTCTGAGATTAACTATAGAAACCCGAAGGTCCCAACGTTATTATTATAAGTGCGTAAAATGTGTTGTCATCTTATATTTTGACTTACATCTGAAAGATTACGTGCATATCTAGGCAGTCAACTCATAACCGTCCGTTTATAGGGCACTCCTAAGTATTATACCGCATTTAATATCAAAACCCTCCTAACCACCCATAACATCAAAAATTAATATACGTTCCCCTTATACTTCATTATATGATACATTATCCGTGGTAAAGAAGATGCCCCAACCTGTCACATGTTGCAATACTTGGTCTCCTCATGGTACAGGCGAAGAAGTCCCCCCCTAGTCCCACGATATCGCGTTGATGAGCCTCCAGTTCTGCCTTATTGTTAACGCACAAAGGCCTTTCTGCAAAGTTTACGCCTCGGGTATTCTCTAGCTCTGGCTTCTGTACATATGTTCCCACCCCGTACTTAGAATTTAGCGTTGCCTCGCGCTCAACCCAAGGCACCTCTATCGGGGCGTCTAGCTTTACCCATAGAAATATCTAGACCTTATTTATCACTAAGGCCTTTTACGAAAGCAACATACTCAAAATGAAGACCAGAACAGCTGTTGGCAGTAAATAAAGCTAACACCTTGCTTCTGACCAGTGTACAAGTGAAACCAAAATATAGGAGGCATCCCAACGGTATAGAATGTGGCCATTCGCAGAAAAAGAAAAAGGTCCCTCAAAAACTAGGAGAAAAGAAGGGGGGGAAAGCCACAAAACAGGTCTGCTACTGTATTACAACGCTCCTGACCACCTCTACTTACATACAAACCGGTATGTGCTATGGATAGCAGACAAAGCTGCTAGCCGTCTATGTCTACGAATAGGGGGGGGGGGGGGAGAGGGGGGGGGGGTATTGTTAGGGACTCAATCGCATGCGACATAGCAGCTCTAAATAACCGCTGATAGTGATCCAGGTTAACCCGGAAAGGCTCGTATGCCACCAGCTGCGTCGTCAACCCCAGCCTGTACATGACTTCGTAAGGCCTCCGTGTGTAACCATCATAGACATCCGAGATAAGTACCTAATCTGATGATGCGCCATAGATTGAATATTGGTCCCACAACATGTTGAGAGTTACCAATAGAGTATGAGACGTGGCATAGTGATACTGCAGGCCCGATTTTTGACTCGCCTTATCTACTCGGCGTTTACATTCCTCTGATCAGGAATACACATACACAATCTTAAAGCTGTACACACCACCCGCAGATTAAGCCATTGGTGTGAGTGGGCTACGGACGGACTTGCTGTAAATATCACTCAAACCACCCCCCCCCCCCCCCTATTGCTTGTTCTATTTTTTCTTATTCTTATAATAACAAGTACTCACTTAAAACACCAAAGCTATGTCACAATGAACGGAACTAGATAGTAATGGTCATCAAGATCTTAAATTTTATGGTTTATCTAGGATCCAAGGATGTCGCTATGGCGGTCTCGTCTCCCCTTAGCCTCATCCCCGTTATTCAAGCGAATGCTGTAATGCCTCCGTCCGTGGTTAATCATGCAGCCGGAACCCCGTCCCATTTTAGCCGGGACCTAGTGTACATGATTCTATCAAAAAGAAAAAACAAAACTGTTCTCAGAGAGAGTGAAAAAGAAGTGAATAGAAAAGAAGAGGAAGATGCTAATATGTACAGCTGAAGTAATCCCGTGCCCCTAGCCTTAAGATGTTTTTATGTGCCGGGCAAAAGTCGGAGCTATCTGTCTCAGTAGTGGGATTTAAATCTGAGCAGCGCGGCGAACGCGGCTTCGGCGGACACGGCCGATCTGGAAGGTGTTGCTGATACCAGGAGTGCACTTAGTGCCCGAGGCCATAGGGATGGCCACGCTCCACTGACCGGAAGCGCATCGCTGGAACGAAGCGCCATCCGCCGAGCAAGCCCATGCGCCCTCGTTGGTGCAAGCACCAGACTGGGCACCAGCACCGGCACCGGCGCCACCGGTAGCAATGGGAGCCTTGGCGCTGGTAGTGGGAGTACCAGCAGGGGATGATGCCGCGGGAGACGTCGCAACAGCTGAGGAAGAAGCACCGGTGCCAGCTCCTGCGCTCGAAGAGGGAACCACTGCCGTAGACAGAGTCGAGGGAGTAGGAGTAGTAGGGGTAGGGTTGGTAGGAGTAGCACCTCCGGAAGGAGGCTCAGTCACGAAAACACCACCAGTGCTAAAAAAGTTAGTTCATCGATCAGAATGAAAGTTTATGTAGGATATTGAGGTACGTACATTGTGGGCGGGCCGGCAGCGGAGGTAGGCTGCTCAACAGGGGCCGAAGAAGATTCCTGAGCGGGAGTCGAGGTGGGCTGAGCGACTTCAGAGGTAGTAGCGGGAGGGTTTGCGACAGCAGATGAGCTGGGACCAGCACCAGAGCCAGAGCCGGAGCCAGAGCCGGAACCGGAACCGCCCGAAGGAGCATCGGCACCAGTGGCGCACAAGACTGCGGGGCCGGGCTTGGTAGACGTGTTCTCAACGTCTGGGCCGGGCTCGGGGTAAACAGTGTCGATGCCTTCCTTGGTGCAAAACTCACCGTCCAAGTTTGCCGTGAACATCTGGGGGCGGCTGGAAAAGGCAGTATCGCGCTTCATGTTCGGCATGGGAAGTTCACGCTTTGCGGCACCACCCTTGATGGTGACGATGGCGCAAGACATGTAGAATTCTCGGTTACCAGTGTTGTTGACCCAAGTCCAGGCGAAAACGACGTCGTCGCCCTCAGGAGCGTCGGCAGGGACGTTGAAGTTGAAAGTACCACCCGAGGCGGTAGGGCAGTTACCAATGAATGACTTGATGACAGTGAATGTGGTGCCCTTGTCGTAGGACAGGGAGAGCTGACAACTACCACCGTTGTGGAAGGCTCCTCCTTCGACGCTCATCGAGTACTGGCCACCGGGAGCGTAGGTCTTGACGGAAGCACCCTCGGGAGTACCAATCAACTTGAGGTAACCTTTGCAAGGGTATTGCTCCTTGGTGATGGGAGAAGTGATAGAGTAGTCGATGTTCGGTTCCTTGGCGTTCGGGTTACCCTTGTATGCCAGTGGGGGAGGGTCCTTCATGTTCATGTGAGCCGTGGCTGTACCAGCAGCCAGCGCGGCAATGAGAAAAGATCGAATCTGCATCTTCGCTATTCTTGTAGTTTCGTAGTTATTTTTAATTTTATGTTTCGGCTTTTCTCTTCAAGAGAAAAGACTAATGAGTGTGATTTGCCGGTTGGCACGTGGTAGATTCCAAGATCTAATTCAAAGTTTCGAAGAGAGAGTTGGCAGGATAAGTTACCAAGGGATCTCGGTGGTTAATAAGGTGATATTGACACGTTTGATATTCCAAAGGAAGGTCGTAAACAAAGAATTTGGGGAAGCTTGCGATTTGTCTCTAGGACTTTGTTTATGAACAAGGAACGACGATGCGGACCGAGAACTACCGTGCCAGATGACCGTAGAACAATGAGCCGATGTAATGGAAAAATAGTAGGAAACCACCTGGGAGTTCCTGAATGACCAGCAGATCAAATGGTATTGTTTGAAAGGAGAGTGGGGGGGAGACGAGAAAGATCTTGTACTTCTCCGATGAGGCGGATGAATTGTGGTGAGAGGAAGTTGAGTGATGCTTGGGTGCCGACGAACATCTTTATATTCATATTAGATACTAGGAGATGTGGCGGCTACATACGTGCAAGCGGCAACGTCACATCCAAAATCGAGAAGACAGAACCGAGACCCTGTCGTGCTAGTCAGCTGCACTCCCCATGATGGCTGGCTTCGCCCAGGTCTCCCGCCCTCGTTCGGCTGACATCTATGTCTTAGTTGGAAGAGCCCCTGGATCGTGAATTCGGATGGACATGGGTGCGCCCCGCCATGTCCACATATTCGCCTACCTGTCTAGATGAGGTAGCGCAGGCCGGGAATCAACAGGTGCACACTTATTACGGAGTAAAACTGCACCTAGGCTGCCTGCCTGTAGTGTGTGTATGTGTGTATGTACGATACATACCGCTCCTCCCATCGCATGGCTGACGGAGGAAGCTAAGCAACCGCTGGAGTGGAGTGGTCATGCATCGATCTTCACGAGGCAGATCCACAGATTCTTTGAAAGAAATAAAGTAGGTGGTTATCCAATGGGTGGCCTATAGTCAGCCGTTCCATCGGAACTAGATTGATTAGAAGAGAGCAGATCTTCAAACAATGCAAAACACATCTTTATTCCCTTTTCTAGCACATGCCTACCTAGGGAATAGGGAATAGGGAATAAGCTCCCAATGGTAGGATTTTGGATGACACCAGATGTTACGGGGGATAAGCATAATTGGTGGCAATTGGAGGTAATTGGTGGTTATTGTATTAATGGGAGGTGATGAATGATGAAGCGCAGTTTGGTTGTCGGTGCGCCGCAGCGGTAAAAGCTGAAAGTGGGTGGTGGGGTGAACTTGGTAAAGTAACCTACACCAATCAGCTCGATCTGGTACCTGAATTGGTGAAACATCCAACCCGGACCGGCCAGTCAGTGGCTGCAGCGCAAGCGACGATCGACCGAAGTCAAAAGCGGGTTTCAGGGGATTTCTACCTTCTACCTGCATAAGCATTTTCTACCACCAGACCACTTAAACTTTGTATGTGCAGTGACTACCTACCTACTTCGGAAGCCTAGCCTTGCCATTAAAGCCTAACCTAGTAGGTCTAGGTTTCCCCCCCTGGCTCTCCCTGGCTCTCACTAGCCTCCTTAGCCACAGTCGTCAGCTTCGGTCCAGGCACAGCACCTTCACAAGCTTTTCTTGTCTCTCTTTGGTCCCGCCTGCCACCTCTAAGCATTTTGATCCCTGGAGCCCCCCCCCCCCCCTGATTTTCCTTCGTCGCATTCAAATAGATGTATTATTCCTCCAACTAAACCACACTATACTAAACTAAACTACTTACCCTCAACGGCAAATTCATATAGGCTGCGTAAGTCACGATAGGGCTAAAATAGAAGTATAATGTGGATAAAACATTTACTTATATAGATCGGAAACGCGGAATTATCTGACTTCTCACACGCCCCTAATAGCAATAAGGTTGTCGTCTTATTGTGTCGATTAAGATGATAATGATGAGCAGCGGCACATGGACTCAATGCTGATATGTGCTTAGGATCCTAGTTTTCTGATTTTTCACTGCTCGGCTGATGGCAGGATGGGCAAACGTGATCATAGGCTAGAAAGTCCAGGAATGCTAGTTCAAGTCAGGGGGAAGGCCTCCCATTGGACGGGATTAGCTACCTGTTAGGTAGCGTAGATCTTTAGCCATCACATCACCGCGCACACCAAAGAGAAGAAACATCTTACTAGGTAACCTAGTGTATTACCTCCTGGTATTGGAGCTTTTACGTGCATATGTACCTGGGTATAAACAAGAATACATAGCCTGATGGACATGACAGGTCTGTTTATCCCCAGACCCAATGGCCAAGAAACGGAAGTTAAAAAAAAGAAGAAGAAAAGGGGGGTCTCGTCTTCTCGGTGCTTCTTCTCGTAGGTCGCACTTACGTAGGTCGATCTTGAAACGTCTAAATTGGTCGATTGGTTCCCCTTTTTCTCCTAACCCCTGCACAAAAGATCTCATACCAACTTAACTGAGGGAGCCCATAGCCACATATGATTGGCCCAAAGGTTGAAACACTGAAACATCCAAATGGGTCTGTCGCCAACCGACCTCGTCTGGGTTCGCATTAAGCGTCATCTCCATTCCGTCCCCTCATATATAGTAGAAAACTTCCCGGGGGTGCATAGAACTCTCCGCATACGGCAGGTCCAAAGTCAGCCTTGTCTGTTTCAATGCTTTATTTATCACCGACTTGCTTCATCAGAAACAGAAACAGAAACATAAATCATAATTAACTAGGGAATGCCTTGGAAGTAGAGCGAAACGTTCTACTAAGATAAAAATCCTATGCTATAGTAGTTTCTTGCCTCTCTAAGTAGATATCAAGTAGATCTAGATCCTCTCTAAACATACCTATTTACTGGTCTCCTCTAGGTAGGTATGTACTCTTAACGAATCCTTCATTGCTACGCACTCTTAGGTTTCAAGCGCATGAACGTGAAATAGCACTGCCCTTTGCCTTCGCCCCATACTTATATCATGACGTTCTGCTGAGGACGGTGGGTAGGTCGGAATCTCCGAACAGCAACAAGTTGAGGTAAAATATCCAGCATACATCTAGTACCTAGCATTTATGTAAGTTGATGTTGCCGGTATTCGGGGAAGAGGTTGACGCTCCTCTCGTCGCTGTATGTTAGGCTAGGTACCTTGGCTACCTAAGCTATCAGCTAGAGAGTATCGACGAGATGCGAATCTGGCTCATCAAGTTTATTTCTGTCTTACTAAACTAGCATTTATCACAACATGTCCAGATACGTTAATATCACTATGTTACTACCTAGGTATGCAGCCAACACGATCAACGTATAAGTAGTGTAAACACTGTTTTTATTGTTATCTGCGAGATCGATACTACGATATGGCTGTCTCTCATTCGCATTCCTGAGGACTTTTCGATAACTCGAGTTAAGCTATTGTCACTTGGACCGGCAATCCCGCAAACAACCTCTCTCCTCATGCTTGGCTGAAGCTGGCCCTTAACAATTCGCAGTAAGTATAGTGGACCACGACGCTAATGTAGACGCAACCGTTTTGATCAAGCCAGAGCTACAGCCAGATAAAGCTACTTGATTCCTTCCTCCTCCTCGACATGTAGAAGCTCAAGCTGCTTCACCTCATGCACCACCGACCGCCTGCTCCAACACTTCCTCATCCTGGTCGATGCCTTCCCAAGCCTGTCGTTGCTTAGGCAAATAAACGTTTGAAAGACATATCCTACGAGGCCAAGGTAACTAAGGGCCACGCCATAGAAGATGTCGACACGTGATATTGGTTTGAGATTTAGTAGGATATGTGTAGTTAGCGACTGTCTTGTGCGACCCATCCTCGTAACAAAATATTGCCACCACGTCTTCACCCAGCTGGATGGGTTGAAAGAGATGAAGACCGGATCGAGGTCACAATTCCGATAACGCTATATGTCCATGCAAAGGCGACGATATAATCGACAAACATAGGTGGCCGATACCAATGCCATGTTGAATGAAGAAATAGATATGCGCTGGAGCGCGGCGCTGGTTAAGTTCTTAGGGAGCAGTTTCTAAAGCTCCGTTCACTTGGCTTCGTCAGGTCCGTCGGAAGATCGCCCCTGAGGCCCAGACGGAATCGTGTGGCCACCTTGAGGACCTTGATGTTGGCTGTGACCTTGATAATTCTTGAAGTTGCTACTTCCATTGCGATGTGGGGGCCCATATTGATGCATTTGCTGTGGGCTCGTACCGAATTGTTGCGGGCCAGGATTACTATATCCTCGCATAGAATTCACTACCCCTCGTATGTTAGCTGGCTTCTTAGGCTGGTTGGGCTGCCATATATGCCACTTACTTTGTCCTTGCTGCTGTGGCACAAAGGTTGCTGGCTGTTGATACTGTACACTGGGACTCATATTATAGATCGGCTGTCCCTGTTGTGATCCTTGGTGGACCATCAGAGGAGCTGTAGGCCGCCCTGGACTGGGATAGCCATTGACACCAGGCATTGGTTGGGGCGGTGTTGCGCCAGGAGGCATAAACTGTAGATGGCCGGTGCCAGGGTAAGGTTGCATCTGTGGAGGACCGGTGACCATTGGCTGTGGCATGAACTGTGGCTGCATCATCATCGGAGCACCCATCGCTCCCGGCTGCTGAGGGACGTATTGTGGTGAATTGGAGAAGCTGCGGTTGAACTGATTCATCGGCGGCGCTCCAGGACCGATAAACGAGGGCATCATGTGTTGATTATAGGGCATCTGGCCTGCCGAGTTCATGTTGGGTGGGTATACAAGCGGAACCTGGCTCATTCTTGGGGATGAGTAGGACTGAGATGAATTTGAGTGCATCATTCTATGATCGTCTGCTCCATTGAACGGTGCATGAGGGACGGGACCATGCTGATTACCATGCATTTGAACCGGAGGGACATGGGGCGAGTGTCGTGGTGCAGTAGCGTGCGTGGGGTTTTGCATGTGTAGGGGCAGTTGATGGTGATGGGCCATCTGTGGCAGGAGA